ATATTCTCACCTTTCTGTTTGCCCTCCCTTTAGTATCGACCACATGACCTTGCTGGAGGGGGTGATTGTGCTGGAGGAGTTCTGCAAAGAGTTGGCAGCCATCGCCTTCGTCAAATACCACGCAGCTGCCTCGTCCTCGCCGTAATCGTCCTGCTGTAATCGTCCTGCTGTTCGTCCATCTGCCTCGAGCGGGCAGACAGGTCAGGATGGAACTGGGCTATTGGAGGTGCCGTAGTACCGGTGGCACAGGGTCGGCAAAATATTACCACTAACTGTTCATCTCTGTCAGACTGTTAAAGCCCACACTGACGGGTGTCATCACTCCCCTTCCTCTGACCTCTTGGGCTTCACTATAAAATTGTCTCAGTCTTGTTTTTGAGCACAGACAGACACTGTCCAGCCAGCAGAGGAATAAGAGGAGGAGGAGAGAGGTTGGGGTGCAGAGAAATGTTCACTGGACTCTTTTGAGCCTCTGCAATTTTTCTCACAGCCCTATCCTTCCATCTTTGTTTTTCACCAGCCAAAAGATGACAGCTCTGTAATTTACTACATCAAGGACGAAAGATGTTTGTGTATTTATTTTCTGTCCCATTACCACCCATCTGTAAATGTCATTGCCTTAGTGTGGACTCACACCTTTCAGTTAAAGAAAACTGTTTCCTTTTGAAACATTTTTTTTAATCTTTACCCCTCACATCGTTGTCTGTTTGAAGACAAGCAGAATCATCATGTGCGTATATGTACCTGTAGTTACATCTAAAGAGCTGTAGTGTTTGAAGATGCTGCGCTCGTGTTTTAAATGCCAAGTCATCGTATTTATTTGTCTGCTTTCAGGTTGCCTTTTTTTAAACTAATGTAAACAGTCTGTGTAATGACTGACTGAGAGGATCCTCTTTAGTGTTCATTTTCTTTCCTGTTTGTAAGTGCTTCGCTCTGAAAGCTCATCTGTAATCACCGTCATCCAAAGATATCACCATCCGTCGCTTTTTGTTGAATGAAAATGGTGAATTTGCAAATTCTGCCAATTTGCACATGGACCTTCATTGCACTTGTTACATTATAAGTTCATTGGTTTGTCGAGACGTCTTTGTGCAGACTGCGTATCCAGTGTTGGAATTTTCATACACCAGTGTTTGATATATTTTAAGACATGCTTGTTTTATTTGTGTTTGCACGCTTTCTCTATAATTATCGATTAATTTATTTGATCCATTCAAGGGAAAACGTGGCGAAACCAACCCTGTTGATTTTATTTATCAGTCTTAAATACGACTTGGGGCATGCAACACGATGTTTTTCTTCCTTTTGTTGGCTTATTACATTTAAAACTTTATTTTGGGTTGTTTGCATCTACAAGTTGTAAACAGTTCAACCACATTTGGATTTCAACTTTTCCTTTTTTTTTGTCCAATGATTCCCAAGAACCACGGTAAATTAGATTGGAAGAAACCCTTTAAAAGGAGTCCAGTTTTCAGTTAGGAAACTGTTGGAGTAGTTGTAGGAGCTCTGAGCTCCTTCAAAGGTTATCATGACTTCCTACAATGTGTTGCGTTTACTTGCAGTGTTACTTTTGTATCCAAATCTTGAATGGCAAGGAAATGTACTCGGTGCTGTGTATTGTTGGGGCGGATTATGTGCTCGTATGTTGTGCGGATCTCTCGGGACGTGAAATTAAGCGTCTCGGCTCACAGATCAATTATGAATTACAAAAAGGATTTGAATTAGTCTGTATCAATATGCTACTTAATGTAACTTTTGTTGCTTGTGTGTTCCCAGTGTGAATGTTTCCGTTCTATGGGATGGTCTTTGAGCACTGAGTTTGATTTATTTGCGTAACTTTGCTGTGGAGAATCATTCATTGAAGCCATGACTCGCTGGTCTTGATCCTTTGTTTTTGCACCCATTTCCTCCTGGCCCCACCTCGAAACCATCACTTAAGCTACATTATGCAATTGCTTGCAATGAATCAAATTTGCACATCGTCTTCATCAGTGTTTTTAATATATATTTACACATCAAAAAGCTTTTTTTCTCTTTCTTTTAAATATTTTGTTGCGTGAACCAAAAAAAGAAAAGTCGAGGATGTCAGGAGAGTAACATTTCTATTTTAATTTTAAACTTTTGTTTTTGAACCTGTCAATTGTTCACACTTTTTTTTTTTAAATCAACTGTGTTTCCAACCTTTTCTGTATAGTTGTATATTGTAAGTGTACAATAGCAATAGATATACTACCTGGTGTAAATGCATGCTTCTACATTATTTTTTAAAGGCAGTCCAGCCATCTGTGACGATTTCTCTGCTGTCAGCACTTTGGTCTTTGGAAATAAGACGCCTTACTTCACACTGTGGATTTCTGAGGGCTCCTGGAATCAGTGTGGAAGGGGGTTTCTGCTTCTTTGCAGTCTGTTGTAATCTTACTATGCTTCTCTTATGTTATGTGGGCTTGTTTTTGTTTGTGAAGATATACAGGACTCTGTGTAGTCAAAACTCTGATGCCAGTTAATTTCATGTCTTGTCATCTTAGACCAATCACTGTATCATGTTGATCACTGCTCATCTCTTAAATAGGAAGAGTGTTCTACTTCCGTCTCATTGGGGTTTCATTCTGTGATTGTGCGATGGCTAATTTAAACAGGAAAAGGCGCACGCTCGCGCCTCCCAATGCTTCAGAATACCAAGAAGCAATCACTGCAGTATTGTGTGCACTCAGAGGCATCGGTTCATTTATTCCTCATCAGCTGTCTTCATCACTGCTCTTACACACACAAAAGGTTTCATTCAGGACAATATGGTTTTGACATTCTCCGTCCCAATTAAAAACAAAACAAAGTTCCTCAGCAGATGTGCTCATTCTTTGAACAGTTCGTTGTGTTTCATCTTGTTTTATTACAAAAGTTCTGTACAATGAAACAAAAACACACAAAATAACCATTTTCTTTCAAACCACAAATTCTATTCAGTAATCCCCTTTCAAAGTAAGATTTCCAATGTGAGAACTGAATGCCCGCAACATGTAATTTTCCTATGCAAACAGCTCTGTAGGACGACATGAATAGAGCAGAGAAACCATCGGGTGTGAAAATGACCTCGCTTGCCAGCGAATAGCTGAACAGAAGTGGGCATGGGAACTTTAGCCTCTGTCAAATTCTCTTTGGCTTCAAGCCTGCCATGCTCAGTCGTCCAACTAATTCTGCAGAAATGAGTGAAAAATCTTACTCTCGGGGCACAGCAATGGATTGTATGACAGGTCCAAAGTCATGTGAGGTGGTTGGAAATAAGTAAAGCTCCCTTTTTGCTGTGCATTGACTTTTTTTTTTCTTTTTTTTTTTAAATCAGCCATGGAAGAGGAGAGGCACTATGGTGCAGAAAGAAGGCTCTCAGTCTAATGACTCTCATTCTTAATGATTGTTGAGGTACATACTGAGATTGCAGTCAAACAGGGTCTTACACTTCTAGCTGAAGGGAGTATAACATAAAGCACCTGAAGTCACTTTGCCAAATTAAGAGCTCCTCATTCTTAGAAAAATAATTCTAGTCATCACTTGAGCAACAGTGTTGTGATTGTGTGCTGACGAGCAATGCAACGTCTGTACAGTGCGATTACCTGCTCTTGTTAAAACCAGACTTTGGTGCCCGGTGCCTTGATGCGGCTTTATTAGCATCATTACAGTTAACAGATGCTAATCGGCACTCTGCTTTGACGAGTCAGTCTTTCAAATATGGTGGCATTACAAAAATAAGTGAACAATCTCCATCTAATGTCACTTAAATATTCCTTTACGTCTCTAGGCGTGAACACAAAATGTAAAAATAATTAAAAAAAATACAGATTTGTGACAAAGGAAATTTGTTTCCACTGGATTGTCATAGTTTAAATAACTTCTGCACTAGAAGTGCCAGGTTCGGCTTCATTTGGAAACCTCACATGTGAAACAGATGTAATACCAAATGGAAAATTTCCCAGCCCCACCCGCCCTCAAAAAAAGGATGTGGAGAGTAAATGAAAATGATGATGTACTTTGTGACTCAGCTACCCAGAGTCTGAAGGACAGTCCTGCAAATATCACAAAAGGAACAAAACGTCCAAAAACCATCCAGCTTTCTTTCTCCATCTTGTAGTGAAAACTCCCAACAGCGTGACAGTATATACCAGCAAATGATGGTACATTAAATTAATTTACACTGACATGTAAATAATTCTTTTTCTTTATCCAAATCAATTTCATGTACATACAAAAACCACTACGTTAAAAAAAACAAAAAACAAAACAACTACATGCCGCTGCACAAAATTAACCAGGATAAAAATACAAATCATCAATTAAAAAAAAAAAAAAGAAATATGTACATTTCCAAATCGATTTTATTTTTTAAGTCGATAAGCATCTCCCCGCCCATTTACAAACCTCAGATATGTGTGCACACACTGACACATGCTTGTG